GAGGCTTGGCAGAATTTGGTGAACTGGGCCTACTTGGAGAAGAAAATCAAAGAATCCCCCGAGTTTTACGGCCTAGCTCGCAACATGACGGACAAAGGCTTCTATTACGCTGTCAATAGGCTCGACACCGCTTGCTCGGAGGACGCCATCGCCGCTGTCGAGCAAGAATACGAGGTCATCTGGGTGGAGCGGCCTGCCGAGGCCGGTAAAGAGGTTGAGGCTGTTGGTGCCAAGGTGGGGTCCAACAAGCTTACCGACCCTCCTCAGGAGTAGATCGCCTCGGTATTCTGTTGTTTCTTGCTTTCTCTCTCTTTTAACCAAATCTGTACTGAGCCGAGGCATATATACCTCGGATCTTCATTAAACTCTATTCTAATGAAATGACGTTGTTTTGTTTAGATCCGAGTAATTCTTTCCGAGGTCCCTGAGAGAAATTTAATTAAACTTTAATTTTAGTTTTGGTTGTTTGAGTTTCTTGAGTCTTCATAATTTCTTACCTACACAACGACTTACGAGCCGAACAATTCAGCTCGGCGGTGTGTGTTTGGGATAACCAGGTTCCTACGAGCTGACCATTGCTTTGCGTGTTTGTAAAAATATAACTTATCTTAGGTCGTTTACCATAGGTCATACCACGTAGTCTTCCTTGGCCCCCATTTGACGTAGCTCGGTAGTGGTAACCACTCTAACGAATAAAGTCAAATTTTGCACAAGTCATTGGAGATCGGCTTTCATTAATGAACGAAATTTTTACACGTCGGATTACACACACTTTATTGATAATAAACTCGCAAATGCTCGGCATTCCATGGGTGAGGGAGTTGTCTCCCGTTTTGGTCGGACAGCAAATACGCTCCAGGTCGGAGTGTTTTTAAGACTCGATACGGACCTTCCCAGTTCGGCTGAAGTGCTCCGACATGATGCATTACCTTCTTCAGGACGAGGTCGCCAGGCTTGAACGTTCTGACTTTTACTCTGGCGTTGTAGTACCGAGCCATACGGTTCTGATATTCTGCTAGTCGAAGCTAGGAGTGAGATATTTTCTCCTCGAGGAGGTCAAGATTCACGAGTAGAGCTTCACTGTTGGCTTGCTCGTCTAAATTCTCAACTCGGGGCGTTGGCATGCCAACTTCCGCAGGGACAACAGCCTCCGACCCGAAGGCTAGGCCGTATAGCGTCTCACCAGTAGATCGGCGGGGTGTAGTTCGGTAAGATGACAGTACCTCTGGTAACTCTTCTGCCCACCGACCTTTCAGAGATTCCAGCCTCGTCTTTAGACCACGCTTGATGATCTTGTTGATGGCTTCAACTTGCCCATTAGACTGCGGATGGGCAGGAGACGAGCTGAGGTGACATATGCCGAGTTGTCGACAGAATTGACTAAACCGAGCACCTTCAAACTGCTTTCCATTGTCAGTAATGATGGTGTTCGATATACCGAACCGACATATTATGCTCTTCCATACAAAGCTGACGACCTTCGCCTCGGTAATAGATGCCAGAGGTTCCGCTTCCACCCACTTGGTGAAGTAATCTACAGCTACTATGGCGAACTTCAACTGCCCCTTCC